GAACATTCGGTTTACTAGTCGTTGGTAAGTGGCATCATCATTTTTTAATCTGAATGGCATTATGCTATAGCAGTATGTGCCATATTTAGTGATGAAAGAGGTTTTTTCTTGGTCGCCCGTGTTAATCTGTATTTGGTTGTACCCATAATAAGCATTGAGAAAACATAAAGTCTCGTAGCCGGCCGTGACGTCGATCATGCGATCGATGTTAGGCAAAGGGAAAGAATCTTTGGGTAATTCTTTATTTAGGTCTTTATAATCTATACACATTCTAACGTTTGTTCCCTTTCTTAGGAACCACGACTACGTTTGCTAACTATTCCAGGTATTTGACCTCCCGGATGGATCCTTTTTTAAGGAGCTTAGTTACCTCATCCTTGATGAAGGCATGTTTGATCTTGGACTGGGGTCTCCTTTTTTGTTTTACCGGGCGGAACTTTGGGTCCAAGCTCAGTTTGTGAGTAGTGATCTCCGGTAGGATCCCTGTCATATCGATATTAGACCAAGCAGAACAATCCATATTAGCTATAAGAAACTAAATGAGTTTTTTCCTGAGCTCGGGAGTTAACCCCGTGCCCAGGTATACCTTCCGATCGAGCAGATGTTCGATCAGCACGACCTGCTCCAGCTCTGCGGCCGTTGACTTGGTAGCATAGGAATCATCGGAGGAGATAAAGGATAGAGGAACCCGAAGTTGTCATCTTCGTTAATCCCTTCCTTGTCCGATTGGGTCGAAGCTGGCATCGATGATTGCTATTTGGATTCCTATTTTGCTTTCGAACCTGAGTCCTTCGTCGATGAGAGTGTTGATATTGGAATTACCTTATCGATGACAAACCTTTCCTTCGCGGCGGGTTATTCCCCGTAAACCGTCTTTATCCTATCTGATGTTGGAAATTTTAATACCTGGTGGAGGGTCGAAGGTACGACCCTCATGTTGTGGATCCATGGTCTCCCGAACAGGGCGTTGTATCTCATGTCCCCCTCGATTACATAGAACTTGGTTTCCTAGATGGTACCGACAATGTTACCGACAACGTTATTTCTCCTTTAGTAGTTTCGCAAGCCATGTTGAATCCATTTAGCACTCGGGCCGCAGGTACGATCTGGTCTTGAAGGCCGAGTTGTTCTACGACCCTCGATCGAATGATGTTGGCCGAGCTATCTGGATCAATTAGCACATGTTTAACGCTAGTTTTATTCATAAGTACAGAAATTACCAGTGCATTTATGAGGTTGCATGATTTCTTCTGCATCCTCGTCGCTGAAAGATAGAGTTCCTTCTGGTAAGTAATTTCGAGTTCGTTTTTCTCTTGTGATTGACACTTTGGTGCGTTTCGTCATCGGTCCTTGAGGAACATTGACCCCTCCGATGATCATATGGATGATGTGCTTTGGTTCGTCTTGTCCGTTTTGTTTGTTGGAATCCCTATTTCTGAAGTGATTCTTAGCTCGGTCACTCAGAAATTCTTGAAGATGACCGTCGTTGAACAAACGGGCTACTTCCTCCCTCAATTGTCGACAATCCTCCGTCTTGTGGCCATGTGTGCCATGATATTTGCATATTTGGTTGGGATCCCTTTGTTCTGGATCAGTTTGCAAAGGTCGAAACTGCTTGGTATCTTTGATGCGTCCAATGGCCAATACGATGGCCATTGCGTCCACATTAAAGTTGTACTCCGAAAATCGTGGTGCTTCTTTGGGACCGATAGATCTTTCAAAGCCGTTTTTACTCATGAGTCCCCGTGAACTTTGACCTCGATCATTTCTCCTTTAGTTTCGTCCAGAGTTTTGCCCAGATCCGCTATTCCTATGGTCTCCATTATATGGTTGATATCGATCTCTATTCGACCTTGGCTCTCGGTCGATATCCCTCTTGATTCTATCGACGGGTCTGATAGGATAAACGGACCCAGAAGAAGCCCCCAGTTGATCATCCTCAACCCTGATCTTCGACTAATACCGATTGTGCACATCGGCCCAAGTGACAGCTGGGTATTCGATCAATTTTGCTTCAACTGTGGTGAAGCCAATGAACTTCGAACGTTAAGACTTTGAGTGAAAGCTTGAACAACCCAATCATCGGCGACCGGTGGCAATTCCATCCGTTCCATTTGGAACCGGGATGCGAATTCTCTGAGCATCTCGTTGTCCTTCTGCCTTACTTTGAAAATGTTCGACTTCATGGTTTCAACCTTGATGGCCCCGGCGTGTGCCTTTACAAAAGAATCTGCAAGCATAGCAAACGAGTCAATAAAATTAGGCAGTAAATTATGATACCATATCATTGCACCCTTCGATAGAGTCTCCCCGAATTTCTTCAGCGAGACGGATTCGATCTCGTCATCTTCCAAGTCATTTCCTTTAATAGAACACGTGTAAGAGGTGACGTGTTCGTTTGGATCAGTCGTCCCATTATACTTAGGGATTTCGGAATGCGGAACTTCTTGGGGATTAGATTCGGAGCCGCACTCGGGGGAAAAGTTTTTTGTACGAACTTTTTGTAATGCAATCCTTTCAATATTGATGGTGCCCCCGTGATTTGGTCAACCCTGGAGTTATAGGTCTCCACCTTCTTGTCGTTTTCCTCTGTCTCGATTCGCTTGGTCAGTTCTTCGAGCATCTTTATGATAGCAGGATTGGTCTCCGATTCCTTCTCGTTTGATTCCCCCGAAACCGATTCGACCCTATGTACGATTTCCTGGGATGGCTCGAGTTCGACCCTGCTCGGTGTGTGGTTCTGTTTTTGGAGCTGGGCTATTGCTGCCTGCTGAGCCTGCAACAATTAGAAGATCGCCCGCAAGCTGATCCCGCCATCTTCACCGTCACATGCGCTTTGAGTAGCCGATTGGGCATCCCTGCGAACGCTGCTTTCGGGATCGACGGCCAGATTTCCATTGATGGCTACATGTGAATTGACGTCAATTGGATCTAAAGCGGAAATTCCGTTGAGGCCAACAGGGGCTACAATGTTTCCTAGTGCAAAGTTCTCATTTTTGTCGTGGTGGCCGAGATCATTGTCAATGTGTTGAGGTGCTGGCTGAGAGTTTGACATTTTTTAATCATGTAATCAAAGATACTTTAAAGAACAAGTGTAAAATAGTGTGTGTCACGAAAGTTTGTACTAGGTAATCACTATTATCCTTAGCCCCACGGTGGGCGCCAAGCTATTTACCCTAAAATCGGATCACAATTGAATTTATACGCGGTTTTAAGGACACATAATATAACTTGATACAAATTGAGAAGAATAAATTAGTATTGAAATAGACAATTAAAGAACAAATGCAAACCACACAAATTGGACAGCCTTGGCCCTCGAGTTCAGTCACCCTTGACCAAATAAGTATCAACTGCTTAAGAACAGAATAACAAGACAATGATAACTAGAGAATGACAGTATATTGCTTTATATTGCGTGAATATGATGATGTTTACAAATGACCAGACTCCCCTTTATATAGTAGGGCAGTCCTACTCTAAGTACAATTCTGTATGAGGTAAGAAATCCCATGATTGGCTAATTAATCGGCCTCTTCTCGATACGTGCCGGGATTCGTGCCGTGATCCTCGCCCGATTGCGGATATTTCGTCTTTCCGTTATTCGACTCGGTAAGCTTCCCTCGATCTCTATCTTGTTCGGTCTAGATCTTGGTCGATCTCGATCTTAATTGGTCTCAGTCTTAATCGGTCTCAGGGGTACGGGCTCGGCAACCTAACTTTGCATCATAGTTCGATATAATCTGAGGCTGAACCTTGGCGTATCGCGCTCCAGTCTCGATCAATCATACAAAAAGGGCAAGCTCGATTTTGACCGTATACACTTCTTAATTTGTATCAAGTTATATCACGTATCCTTAAAACTGCGTACAAATTTAATTGTTATCCAATTTTAAGGGTAAACATATTTGTGTAATAGTTTCGTTTGCTGTGTGTAGTGATAACGAGTTTATAGCCAAGCCCATACATATATCAAATATAGAAACAACTGGAAATAAACACAATGAGAAAACTCGCAAGAAAGTATTGTTAGTCGCTGCGTCAATTTTCAAAACTTTTGTTTATTTGGAGTATAGACCTTGAAAATAATAAAGGTTGGTTACACGACATAAACGGTAGAAAGTCTAGATAAAATTAAAAAAAATTAATAATACTGGAGATTAATTCTCTAATTCCCTAAAATCTCTAAGAATCAATAAATCTTCAGTTAAGAATTAAAATGAACGATCCGTACATACAACTCTAACTAGTGAAATTAAATCAAATGTCTTGTGTGGAACTGCAGATAAGCGTAATATTCGAAAAGCTTCAAATTTACTTTAAAGCTACATTATCTATTATTGTAATAAAATGAATTTGATAGCCAGTTTGGCCAAGCTTCTCCAAGCTGAAAAATAATTTTTTTAAAAAAGTATTTTTGGGTAGAAGTAGAATCAATTTTGGAGAAGCGGAAAAAAATAGCTTCAACCCATAAACACTTTTTGAGAAGCACTTTTGAGAAAAATAAATTTAGAAGCACTTTTTAAAAGTTTGGTCAAACACTAATTGCTGCTTAGAAGTATTTTATTAAATTAATTAGACAAATACAAACTGTTTCTCACCAAAAATACTTTTGAAAAAAAGCACTTCTCAACATAATCGAATTTTTTCAGCTTGGCCAAACAGGCTATGAATAGAGCAGAATTATTAACACAACTAATTTTTGGTTAATTGATTAATAAGTACTACTATGTATTGCAAAATTCAAGAGGATAATGTAAGATCTGAAATTTAAATGGAGTAATAATGTAAGAAGTTAAAACGTGGTGGGTAGGCGCTATTGGAATCATTTCACTAATTCAAAAATCAAAAAAGGGCTCTAATGAGGGAACGGTCGAAAATTCAAAATTGTTCAAAAACGAAGCGGGCTACATTTGTTTATTTTGCATGCATGAAAATAACTCACTTTCTCTCTCTAAACATTTTTGAAATTTGAAAACAGCTCTCAGCGCTCCATTTATACCCGCCCCTCACTCTTTCTTTCACCTCTCTCTTCTCTCTCTCTCTCTCTCTCTCTTGAATAAGCAGTAGCTTAAATCTGAGCATCTAATTTTCATCGGATTAAGCCTAAAAAAACTCCACTGAATTATTCATTGTAAGCTTCTCTTAATTTTCTGGCTATGAATGTGCTCATTCTAACATAGATTTAATCTTCTTGTTTTTCATGAGTATACATTTGATTTGCTGTTAAATAATCTGATTAATTTCGTATCAATTGTTCATTATCGATGCATTTCTTTACATAATTAAGTTCATCCTTAGTTTATGGCATTGGCAGATGAAGCCTTGGACAGTGGATTTAGGTGCATTCACAGATTCAGTGTCTTTAAGATATAGCTGAAATTTGACATATATTCTATGGTCAATAAAAGACCAATCGGTTCATTGGTCTAGTTTGAACTTAGAAGTACAAATTAAGACTGACATGGGTTGATAGAATGATAGTATTATTTTCCATGTAGTATATGTTATGTTAAGTTTCATCAAACAGTTTAATAATTAAGCTGTGGCTAGTGTTGTAGTTGTGATCCAATGTGGTCGTTTCTCCATAATCATGGATTTGTTTTAGCATGTCCATTTGAATTCTTATTCATTCCACTTAGCCCCGAGTAGTTTGTATAGAATCAGTTTCAAGATCTTTCGAATCCTTGATAGATCTTTCTTCTGGCTTACTCATTGATTCAGCTAAAAATGCTTACCTTTTTTTAACCTTATGAACTTCATCTATGTACCTATCTATTTATTTTCGTCCCCTCACACCTTATCGTGTTAGCTAATGATGATTACGTTTGTTTGTTGTTTCTGTTCAAGCATTTTTAACAGATGAATTCTAAGGCTTATGAATTTATAGATGCTTGAGAATTTGATTATTCTTTTCTTTTTTGTTATGATTTGTAATTGACCATTACCTGTTTGATATTTGTACCCAGAATAATGGACTCTTTGCCTGATGCCATTGTCCAGTGCATCCTATCCAACATAACCAATGCAAAAGATGTGGCTTCTTCTTCTTGTGTATCAAGACGGTGGAAGGAGTCAATTCCTTATCTCAATAGGCTTGTCTTCACTCGTAACGTTTTTGACAACCTTAAGAAGTACTCTCCTGATGACATTGTTCGGCACATGGTTTCATCAATTATTCGATTGGAAGAACTTGTTGTATACTGCCCCTTTACTGGTTCTGGCCTAGCGTCGTGGCTTTCATTGGCAGGACTTTCTCTACGGAGGCTTGAGCTAAAGATGGACGACAACCTCATCGAGCAGAATGCCGGCTCCAGGAACCCCTCAAAGTTGGACTGTATCACAGCAGCAATGAATTTGGAATCTTTGAAACTTTGGGGGGTGAATATGACACATTGCCCCAAATGGGACACTTTCTATAGGCTTAGAGATCTTCAAATTGTTGGTACGGTAACAGATGACTCCACCCTCTCTGCTGCATTAAGAGCTTGCCCCAATTTGAGTAACCTGTTGCTCCTTGGTTGTGAGGGACTGAAATATGTTTCTATTGAGCTTCCTCAGCTGGAGGTGTGCAACCTTGATTTCAATGGCTTAGGTAACTGCTCCCTTTATCTCAATTGTCCAAAAATTCAGAATCTTGAAGTGCAAGGCTGTAGTTGGATCAGAGTCCTTGAAACTCGATTACTCCGAAACCTTTCCATTTCCAACACTTCAGGTATTGAAAAATTCCATTTTTTGATACTCCACTATTTTTGTGCTTTACTTTCAAACAGTATCACAAACAACCAATCTTTTATTGTAGGACGGGTTAATGGTGTAGTTTTTGGAAAGCTTGTGGCACTTGAGTCTTTGGAGATGAGAGGAGTTCAATGGTGTTGGGATGCAGTAAACGAAATGCTTCGATTGTCAAGTGAAGTCAAACATCTCTTCATGAAGGTGGAATTCACTGGTGATTCTGATTCCCTTCAGCCATTTCCAGAGATCGACTTTGTTGATTTCTTTAACAGCCACCCCAAGCTAACAAAATTTGACATCCATGGCGCCATGTTTGCTGCGCTTTGCCAGAGAAACAGTTTGAAAAATGTGAGTCTTCTGTTTCTCATTGCTCAACAGTTCATATAGTGCACTTAATGTCTGTTTTAACTAGCCTATGACATTCAAAATCTTGGATGTTTGCAGGTGGACTACAGATTTATGATCCCTTGCCTTGAGGAGGTTGTAGTCACCGTGAGATCGCCACTGAATGCTGAACAGAAAATGAGTACACTCGAGTCTTTAATCCAGTATGGAAAGAAGCTGAAGAAGCTGAGAATAAAAATTCTTCAGATGAAGAGCAGCCATAGCAGTACAGATGATTTTTTTGAGGAAATTTGCAGATTCACACGTATGAATCGCAGGATTGTTTCAATCGAATAATGATTGAAAATTTTCCCTTTCCCCCCTTTTCCTTGGGTTTCTTTTCATGGGAGGAGGGATCCTTCTTCTGTTGATTTTGATAGGAACATTCTTGGACCATTTCCTTGTAAGTTCCAACAAGTTTGTACTTTGATTTATGTAGCTTATAATTTTTAACCAGACTAGGGGCTCAAACTGCCTTGCATTTTTAACCGGACTAGAGGTAATTGTTATGTACTTGGAGAAAACCATTGATGAGTTGCTTACTTCATATAAGGAAATGGGATGATTGCTTTTCTAGAAATTGAGATGCATACTTTTCAATTCTTGGCATGATACTGCAAAGATATAATACCAATTACAGATGTGACACATTGATGGATGTTCTTCAGCTTGGAAATTGTTTCTTCAGCTTGAAAATTGTTGTCTCTTTTGTCTTTTTATTTTCTTGAGCCGAGGGTCTTCCGGAAACAACCTCTCTACTCCCTCGTGATAGAGATAAGGTTTGCGTACACACTACCCTCCTCAGACCCTACTAGTGGGATTTTATTGGGTTGTTGTTGTTGTTGCATTTTGCTGGTTCATTTGCACCTTATTGTTGTAGGTCTTGTATCCAGTGTAGTACAAGAAGCTCTTAGTAATCTAAGCTAATTTTTTTTCCTCACGACTAAGATTGGGATAGGGATGTCTTTCGGTTTGGTTTTCCCAAAGATCTCAAATGTGGGAAGTAAAATTATAAATTCTTCTATGTTCTTGAGAAGTTTAGCTTCAATCAATCTTCATAGCAAATCATAACCTATGCCACTAAGGGCTCATTCTACATTTGGCACAAGAAAACATAATCTCTGTAAAATTCTGGATTATTTAATACAAATGTCTGATTACTTTGTTTTCTGCACAACTACTACCCTGTAACTTAAGGAAAATTTGCATATTATTTTTTGGAATATAATATGGAAAAAGAATACACATGCTGGCAATAAATTTTGAAGAGTACCTAAATTGATAAAAATACCCTCAAAATTAAAACTATGTTATTATAAAAAGGCACCTCTCTTAACCAATTTTTTTATTTATTTAAAAAAGAAAGCATTATATAGTAGTAAGAACTAATATAGTGATAATTCTTTAAATTTTGAATTAAAAAAGATGTAAAACTAAAACTTGTACATATATATAATTAGTGAAACTGCTTATTGACTCGACATCACACTCTCTCATCTCTGCACAACGCTCACACGTATTGATTATTTGATTGCATAACAATGTGTTATAAAGCATCACAAGTTTGTCAACCAATCTGCCCCTAAATGAAATACTCAAAAGGTAATCCACTCTTTCATTTCATCAACAAGATTAACATATTAAACGATTCAAGTTTAGCAGCTGTAAACGAGAGTAGGATTAAGACAAGTTCTTATTCTCTATAATCTTTTTAAGTCCTGAAGCATAATATAGATGGACGAGAGCGAGCGAGAAACAAGCTCAATTGATGCAAGTGTGTAATCAGAAACAGGAGATAACTAATAATAGCTTCTATATGTCTATAGGAGCAATACCAACCATACACGGATAATTTAAAGGAATCATTGCGACAACTACTTGTAAGAGAAAGGAATATCAAGAAACATTCAACTCTGAGTTATCACTTGAGGAAAAAATACAGTGTACTGATACTTGAATAAACACATGCTTCAGAGAATGTACAACAACGATAAGTGAAGAAGAGTAACAAATGAAGGGCAGGTAAGCAGTAGAAAGTAATTCAAGTGTACACTCAAAGCTAAGGTGATGTCTTCATTATCTGATATAGTAAAAGCTAGATCATAAAAAAATCTGTGTTTCATAAAAAGTGCCAAATGATGCTAGTCCTAAGATTTAATGTGCCATCTAGAATAAGGTTTCAACTGAAGGAAGTTTAAATTAGCTTCTTCTTTCGGAAATATCGCTTCAGATACAAAACTTGTAAAACCGAGGCCAAGATGCAGACTCCCAAGGATGCGATACTAAAGCTAGCCACCCGCGTATTAGTTGTTTCACTAACCGACCGCATCTCTGCTTCTCTGTAAGGACACAAGGAAGAAGGTAGAAAGGTTAAACAACAAGAGCAAGTAAACCACAAGCACTGGCATCCATAAGCATATTAAAAGGTTACCTGCTCTTCAAGTAAATCAGATTTTCATGAATGGCCTCCACAGCTCCCTCAAGCTTTCTCAACTCAAGTTCAATACCCTACTAGAGGCAGAAATTTGTGTAAAATTTCTAGAGCTTGCAGAAAAGATCTATTTCTCTATTTATCAGGAAAAGAAAATAATAGCCAATATATAATCCTTTAGGGAAGTATCAATTGCACAGGCAGAGATAACACCTACACAACCCAAGCTTAAACAAGTTACAAACACAAGCTTTGGTCAGAAATTTCTATATCTATTAACCTATAGCCATTTTAACTCGTTTGTAAAACATGCTTCAAATTCATAGAGTTTAGTCCCACTTTCTCCCTCGAGGGTTCGTACTTTCTTCAAATGAGCACACTTAAGTTTCAGACAATTATGTTACAAGCAAAGATCTGAAGCTGAAAGGGCAACAAAATCAGGTCCAACCTCTATCTTCTCCTTTCTGGCAACTGATTCCCAATCCTTGGCAGCAATTCCGGTTTTCCAGTCAAGGTTAACAGTTAAGCTCCCACCTCCTGGATTATGACCATCAACCCAAAAACATGCTAGATAGTTACCAGCCTCAGTTGTTGTGAAGGCAAACTGACCGTGTGTCATGTTCTCCTTGTGGTGAAGATTGTTCCCAAATGGTGAGGTGACCTGCACAAGTAATAACATGCCATAAGATTCACTATATTAGCACAAATGAAGAAATATGACATCAGGAGAAACACATGTCAAGTGCATTTTCACAGATGTTCTAGCCCAACAAATTAAAGAAACCTGAATCTCGAGAAAACACCTCAAATTTAAAATACCTCCCCAATACGAGTTCATTTGTGTGTGTCTGAGCCTTCAGGACACAAGCCCATGTGCTTTCATATCATCAATACTTAGTGCACAATCAGGAATATACAAACAAAATACACTACCCAGCTAATGAGTTGATGCATTGTATCATTGGACCTGTCTAGACATGTAGTAGTACAATAGAACAAGAAGGCGAGGCAAGAGAAAAACATAAACCATCAAACTAAGAATACGATAATCATATAGCCTTTAAGCCGCTCTATGGAATCAAATGACAAAAAGGTGTGACGAAAGCTATTCAAATACAAAATGCTTGGCTGCTAAGTGGGGACTTCAACAATGTGCTAACTACTGAAGATTGAATAGGAGCACCTGTCACTCAATCAGAAATCGAAGGGTTTCAGGATTTGGTTGAGGTGCTGCATCTGACTCCTTTAAAAAGTATTGGCCGGTTCTTCACATGGTGTAATAAGCAACAGGAAGATAGAAGGGTATACAGCAAGATTGATTGGGCAATGGGCAATTATGTGTGGCTGCAGCAGTATAGCCACATAGAAGCTGAATTCCTGAATCCTGAAGTGTCTGACCATTCCCCAATCCTAATTCATATTTGCCAAAGAAATCAACAGAGAGGCTTACATCCTAAACCTTTCAAGCTATACAATAATGTTATGGAGCATCCAGAGTTCAGTAATATAGTGCAACAGATAAGGGAGCAGGAGATGCAAGAAGATCCCATGAATAGAATCTGGATGAAGCGGAAGAAACTCAAAAATGGCGTCAAAGATTTAAACAAATATATGGCTTCTTACCAACAGAGAATTGACCAAGCTAGACAGAAACTGGAGATAATACAGGGGGAACTTAAAACATCTCCTTTAGATCAAAGCCTGTTCAATCAGGAAAAGGAAATCTTGACTGAAATGGCAAAATGGAGTCATATAGAAGAACATGTATTGAAACAGAAATTTAGGGCTACTTGGATTAAATGTGGTGATTCTAATACCAAGTACTTTCATGCTCAATGGAAGATGAGGACTAGCAAAGACTACATTGTATCTGTCTACAATGAATGTGGTATAAAGCTAACAGATCCTGTCCAAGTAGAAAATGAGTTTATATCATTTTTCATTAAACTCATGGGAGAAGGTGGAAATGTTCATAGATGTCCAAACTCTTAAGTGGTGAAACAAGGGAGATGCCTTAGCCCACAACAGAAGGTGGCACTGATTGAACAGGTATCAACTGAGGAGATACTAGCTGCCATAAAAGACATGCCTCATGACAAGGCCCCAGGGGTGGGTAGTTTTCCCATTGAATTCTTCACCAAAAATTGGAATGTAGTCGGCTCTGAAGTATGTGATGCTGTTAAGCATTTCTTTGAGACTAGTAAAATGCATAAAGGGATGAATTGTTCTGCAGTCACTGTAATTCCAAAAGTGCCCAACCCTAGCCAAGTTAAAGAGTAGAGACCTATAACATGCTGTACCACATTATACAAGATAATCACCAAAGTTATTACCAACAGAATAAAGAGTGTAATAGGGGATCTCATTGGGGAGTCACAGTCAGCCTTTATTGAAGGAAGAAGCATTACAGATAACATTTTGTTTACTCATGAACTTTTCAAAGGCTATAATAGGAAAGGGATCTCACCAAGATGTGTATTGAAGGTAGACCTGAGGAAGGCTTATGACACTCTTGATTGGAACTTTCTGGAAAGAATGCTGATATAGCTTGGTTTCCCGTATAAATTTGTTAGATGGATAATGGAGTGTATCACCACAGTGACTTACTCCCTCAACATGAATGGAGGGCTGACAAAACCATTTCAAGGAGAAGAGGTATAAGGCAGGGGGACCCTATGTCCCCTTATTTGTTTGTCATTGCCATGGAGTATCTGCAAAGGGAACTTGCACAACTGGCAAAGAATAGAAACTTCAAATTCCATCCCGGATGTAAAAAGCTAGGAGTGATCCATATATGTTTTGCAGATGACCTATTGATGTTCTGTAAAGCTGATATTACATCTATCAGATTGCTGCAGCAAACATTTCTCAAGTTCTCAAACGCATCCGGACTCCAGGCAAATGCAGAAAAAAACTCTATCTACTTAGCAGTTCGCAGGCACCTCGAGCAGCCAAAAGCAAGACATTGTACAAGAACTGGGATACCCTGAAGGTACTCTACCATTTAGATACCTAGGTGAACCATTAGCATCCAAAAAGCTGTCTATCATCCAATGTTGGCCACTAGCAGAGAAGATTACACAAAGAATCAACTGCTGGACGTCCAAATTGCTGTCATGTGCTGGTAGGTTACAATTGATCAAATCAGTCTTGTTTGGGGTACAGTCATATTGGGCACAGATCTTTCTGCTACCTAAATAGGTATTGAAGATGATAAAAGCCATTTGTAGATCCTTCTTATGGTCTGGCACATCAAACATTACCAAGAAAGCACTAGTTACTTGGGATAGAGTATGCTGGCCACAAGCTGCAGGGGGACTTAATGTAATGAATCTATACTATTGGAACAAAGCAGCAGTTACAAAACACTTGTGGCAGCAGAGTTGTGAAAAACGGTCGCTTCCTCGCTTAAAGCGAGAAGCGCCGAAGAGAGCACTTCTCTAAAGAGGCGACTAGGGTTCCCTTTTCAACTTCAACGTACGACCAGCAGCAACCTCCTCCTCCTCCTCCTCTTTCTTTCATTGTTTCAGCGTCCAAATAGCAGCGAAATACTGGCAATTTTTTTTCCCTTCGGTTCTTCTTTCTCAGTCTTCTCTTCTTCGTTGAAATGCTGCCAAGTTCTTCTTTCACTGTTTTTATGCTACCCAGTTTTTAACAGAATGGTATACTACCCTTCCTCTTATTTTAATATTTTTTTTAAATTCCGCTTCACTTCAAAAAAGCGAGCGCTTAGCTTCTCGCTTCTCGCTTTAAGCGAAATGGGGGTTGTCGCTTTTCCTCGCTTCACGCTCTTCACAACACTGGTGGGCAGTAGCAATGAAGGACAACTTATGGATCCGATGGATTCATACTTTTTATATAAGAAACAAGACAGTGGAAAATGCTCCAATACCCAAGAATGCAGCCTGGGTAGTTAGGAAGATACTGGAGACAAGGAAATTTGTTAATGAGATACAAGGTATTCAAGGGTATTTGACTAGTAGACTTATCTAGCTACAAAAAGGAGAAGTCTTTAGTGTAAGTAAGCTGTATCACATACGATTCCCTCAGCTTCAAAGGGTACCTTGGAAGAGTATAACCATGCAACCAAACCTGCACCCTAGGTACAAGTTCATACTATGGTTGGCACTACAGAAGAGATTAGCTACAGTGGACAAACTACTCAAATTTGGAATTCAAGTACCCCCAACAGTCTGTATTTTGCCAACACTCTAATGAAGTATTTGAACACCTATACTTTGAATGTCCAATATTAGAAGGAATATGGACCAGACTGCTCAATTGACTAGGCCACCCTAGACCTATTCAGGATTGGTAAGGGGAAGTACAATGGATAAACAAAGGTGCAAAGAAGAAATCTGGTCACTGGGCGATTGTAACTTGTGTGTTTGGTACGCTGGTTTACACAATATGGAGGGAAAGAAATGTGATTAGATTTCACGGGGGTGTGCTCAAGAATGATAACATTTGCAGAGAGATTGTGATGCATATACATACCAAAGGAAGAACAATACAGAGATGGCAAGGAGCACTGTAAAAGCTGAACTACTTCCCTTAAATTCTTTGGATCCTATCGTGTAAATGCTTTTTTCTTCTGAAATGGTCTTAAGCTGATGTAAAGGACCATACACTAGATATATAGCTAGAACATCAGACTTGCTGTAACTAGAAGATAGGGATGTAGATGGTCAGCATCTACTTGTTTTGCAAAACTACTCCCTATGTTCCAGTTTATGTGAACCTATTTCCTTTTTGGTCCGTTCCAAAAAGAATGACCCCTTTCTAAATTTGGAAACAATTTAGCTTAAACTTACAATTCTACCCTTAATGAGAAGCTTTTATAACCACACAAGTAATCCGGGCCCCTTTTTAGCTTGTTTAGGGCCACAAATTCCAAAAGTTTTTATTTTTTCTTAAACTCCGTGCCCAGTCAAACAGGTTCACATAAATTGGAACAGAGGGAGTATTTTTTTGGAACGAATAGAAAGTCATTATTTACCAAAAAAAAAGAGAGCCGGGTAGTTTAAGGTGTGACTATTGATTTTTTTTTTTTGGGCGTGGACAAAGTGTGACTATTGAAATATTTGCAGGCTTACGAATCCACTTTTGATGTTTTATAATCCTTGTAAGAAGACAAATGTTTAGGAGTATTATTTTATGCATTCCTCTTGGTAATGATGGGTGACACTTCGTAGTTTTTGTGTAGTCTATACATTAATATACAAAAATGTTACCTTCTCAAAAAAAATAAAATTGCAGGCCTGACAAGGAATCTCTCCAATATGCTAACTAACACATACATTTCCCCCCACTTTCTTCATGCAAATACAACTTCTTCCTGCCTCCTCTTAATACATTCAAAACCATTTAAAACCTGCATAACCATGACACAAACTGGCAGGAGAACAAGATATATGCTGTGTGGATTGTCTTTTGTCTTCTAAATAAAGCTGAAAGCCTGAAAACTTAATCTGCCTATGGTATGGCTTTGGAAATTAACTTTGACGATTAACTTTTTTTATACGATAACTTTGACAATTTACTTCAGTACTCTATAAGCAGGTTTCCTATTCGATGGGCTAGAATAAGGATTTTACTCTGTATTAGTATCATTAAAGATGATGAACTTTTTATTTTTTAAAGAAAATCAAGAATGTATCAGCATCAAAAAAGTAAATTCATCACCTCAGATAGACTAACTAATCACATTCCTATCAATAACCTTTAGCAGCTTGGCACCCACCTCTCAAGTAAACATGAATTACACTAAAGACTCCTGAACTTAGACAGCGTTATTTTATCTCTCCCTGGACTATAATTTTGTAAAAGATAACAGCCAAATAAGCATGGTCAATTGTAATTGCTGTGAATTTTCACCCAAAAATGAGTTAAACGTAACGGATCCTTGATAAAGAGCTTTTCCTACATTATGGAGAAGTGGGACATTTTAGTATAAATGTTCTAATTGTCTTGTTTATAACCAATGAATAGTAATAAATTAACTGTAACAAGATTTAAACTCAAACTGTAAGAATATAACATGGTCAAGTTGAGAGGAGTTTATACAGTTCACCCTCAACAAAATAATTAGCTGTCACTTGTCTCGCTTTTCCAACCACAAAGCAACCTAGAGTCTAAGTTGATATTATCATGTGCTATGTAGAATCTACTGTTTTTATTATCATGTGCTAGCTTATCATGTTGTATGGTAGGGTAACTAGCACACTCCCCATGAGATTGACTCTGGTGTCAAAGCAATTATACTAAACATCTTGGGCATCTAATCTTGGCCAGAGACATTCTAACAAGTTTTCTTCACAAAGCTTCTACACGAGGGACTTCCTTTTCCTTATCCAAAGACTGATAGAATAGGTGCTTTACTGCTTAATCTAGTAAAAACTTATAACAAACAAAAACTTGAATGTATTAAAGTATACCTTCCTTATAGAGATCCATCACATATAGCAGAACAGATGCCTATGTTTCCAATATTCTCTCACATTATCTTAGTTAAGAGTAACTCATTCTAATTTAATGTATGCGCTGGAATAAAAAGTAAGATTGCTAAATCAGCAAAGCAATCTTCTTGACAACTTGGCAAAGACCCAAAACATTATCCAAATCAATTTTTTTATTCCCAAGTAAGTATCAATCAGCCATAAACTGATAAAGTAAAAATCATTCCCATATGTAACCCCAAAAATCACACTTTTCCAAAAACCCCAACAGCCCATTTATGCAGCTGATCTAAAAGGGTTGAATCTGCTTAAACTTTAACTCTCTCTTATCCTAAAAAGAAGCTTATAATCATAAGTACTATGTCACAGGAAACGGGTGTCGTGCCAAATTACCCTTTAAGCAAATAAAATCACAGATTCACATAGACAAACAGGAACGAAACTGTGCCTAACAAATGAGATTTAAGACAAGTCCCTAGTCGTGGGGCAAGTTGACCAGATATTGTACTAGTGGGTTGTCACTCATATGAATTAGTAGTTAATTAATTGAAGTGCGCAAAAACTGATTCGGTTATTGTCCTCGTTACCTTGACGGAAATAGTGGGGATGGGATTCGAGTGATCATCGGAGATCGCAAAGTAATCAGCCAAAACGACGACGTTATTGTGAAGTTCCTCAGAAACACACTTTGTTCCACTCGCCGGCACAGTCAACCATATTGCTTCTCCCTCCCGCAATAAACAGACGAGTACCATCAACGGCAGTGATAGTAACACCCACCTGCGCATGTTAGCTCTGTCACACATCATTCGCTTTACTTATCTTTCAGAATTTTGACTTCGGCTTATGTAAGTGTCAATGATATCGTAAATTTTCTATGGCTTTGCAACGGTATGAATTATATGTGGGCATGTGATGTGTCTGATTGGCCCATTGGGCTTTATTTTGATTTAGGAGTAGAAAAACTTACAAATTGCACGACGCGTCCTATTTGGTCGCCCCCATTTAACTTATACTCATTTTTTAAAAATTTTTAATTTGTACCTACTTTTTAAAAAACTTCAGTTCCCTTTCTCCGCTGCGTTGCTTACCTCTTCCTTTGTCCTTGCTGCTGCTTTCTCCACTGCGTTGCTTACTTTCTCCTTCACAGAATGCATCTTCTTCTTTCTTCTTTGCCTTGCGTAGAATACTACAATTGTTGATAATGTAGTAAATTGAAGGTTCTGTAGTTTGTGGGGAAATAATTAGTAGTAATTAAATAGAACTATAGCTGAAGTTATGTGAAAAGAGTGTTATTTGGGGTAGTAAACATACAATGAACTAAATAACTTCAGCTCTATAGCTGAAGTTTTTCGGTTACAAAGACCAGAACTTCAGCTCTAGAGCTGAAGTTTTCCGGTTACAAAAGAAAAACTTCAGCTCTAGAGTTGAAGTTTTTATTTCATAACTGGCAAACTTCAGCTCTAGAGCTGAAGTTTCCCTGTTACTAAACAAAAACTTCAGCTCTAGAGGTGAAGTTTTTATTTTATTTCCCGATTACTAAACAAAAACTTATAAAATAAAACTTCAGCTCTAGAGCTGAAGTTCGCGAGTTACAAAACAAAAACTTCAGCTCTAGAGCTGAACTTCAGACTAAACTTTTTAACAATGGGAGCTTTTGAACTACTTTAACCAAGCCTTCGCATAACCCTAGACTTAATCCTGAATAAATAAAACTTCAGCTCTAGAGCTGAAGTTTTTATTTTATAACTGGCAAACTTCAGCTCTAGAGCTGAAGTTTCCGGTTACTAAACAAAAACTTATAAAATAAAACTTCAGCTCTAGAGCTGAAGTTCGCGAGTTACAAAACAAAAACTTCAGCTCTAGAGCTGAACTTCAGGCCCGGCTACTAAAATGCTGAAGTTTTGTGTGATTGCCTTTGCTACTTCAGCCCCGCATGCTGAAGTTATGTGAAAAAGCGGGTACGCTTGCAATTTTTTTTGCAAAGCGGGCACAGGTTAAAATGTGGCACAAAAAGCGGGTATAGATGCAAATGCCCCTAGAAAAACGGGAGAAATTCAAAATTAATCATACAAGTGGTCATTCAAAAATAGCCACAGTTTCAAAAGTAATCGAAATTTAGCCACTTTTCATGTAAAGATAAATTTGAACGAAAACACTGTTCAAAATCCCGAAAATACTCCAGCATAATATACTGGAACTCCAGCATATCATGATGGAGTTCCAACATAAGTATATTGGAACTCCATCATAATATACTAGAGTTCCAGTATAATATACCGGTCCAGTATAATATGCTGGAAGTTCATACACAGGTGCTCCAATCTCCAGTATATTATGCTGGAACTTTTCGCGTGTTGGAGTTCCAACATAATATGCTGGAAGTTCATACACAGGTGCACCTAGGGGTGTTCAAAACCGAACCGAAATCGAAAACCAAAACTTAATGGCTTATTGGTATCGGGTTAACAATTATATATATATATATATATATATATATATATATATATATATATATATATATCACAAGCATTGATTTATTTTGGTCCTTAAAGTATATACTTAAGGGATATAGTCCTTAATGTATTTTGGTCTTTGATTTATACACTTTAATTTATTTGTACATAAGTTATTTTAATTATAATAGAGTTAATGAATTTATATTATTAATAAAAAATCGAACAGGACATATTATTAGAAAAAAATATACTATAACAATACCTAAGTAATACAGAAAAAACAGTAATTTTTGAAGAAAATTTAGTTTTAGGTTTGAGGACCAAAAATATTTTTAGTTTTAGGTTTGAGGACCAAAAATATATGTTTTTTTGCCAATTTCCAAATATTAAGAACTATATCCATCAAGTGTATACATCAAGGCTGTTGGGTGAGTCTTAGCTACATTTTGAAAAGATAGTGTGTGTGAAATAATGATTTTGGTAATCAAAAGGTGTGTCTTATGGATTTGGTCCAAAGTTCCGGACAACCTATGTATTCTGTCATATATCAATTGACAATTTTTGATCATTTTATTGCTCAGCTTCTATGTACTATACGTAAGGTAATCCTTTCTGCTCAGTTTTGGAGAAGCCATGGCAACTTAGCTTTGTAACAATGTTTCTTTTGTTATAATGATCAGTTTTAGTTTCCAATACTATTTTTTTATTGTTTTTATTTATACTAACACTAGTGTTTAATTCTTCTCCATTAATCAACATGGCGTTGCAATTGGTGGGTATGGAATTAATGACTCACCCGCTTTCTTGATAAAAATATCGTAATGCCAAATATTTGGTATAATCTGCCTAAACTACTTCAAGGCATTTACTAGACTTATGATGTCGTTGCAAAGGTATAATGTCACGACCCAAAATCCGTTAAAGGTCGTGATGGCGTCGAACACCAATGTCAGGCAAGCCAACACCTAAATGGTTAATTAAATTCTCATTTTAATATTTCCGAAATAATAAATTTCCTTCAATTTAACTGGTAAAAGATGAACTTTACAGAATAATAATAACGTTTTCCAATTCAACACCTAATATCCCGTAATCATCCCAGAAATCGGTGTCACAAGCAGTGGCGTACACATGATTTTTCGTAAGTGGTGTCACGATTTTATACTATAAAAGAACAACAAATAAATCTCTATAATTTGATATTAAAAAAATCATAACTCGAATCATATTAATAAAACAAAACTCAATTATATTACAACTCTTCTTGATAAAGTTTTATTTTTTGAAATATATTCAAAATAACCTTACTAGAAATTTACTAAAATGTACTTTTATTTCTATAAAAGTCACCAAACAATCACTTAAAAACTCATAATTAATCTGCCAATGTTCTTAATCAGTATCACCGTCGAGAAGAAAATCAAAGGAAAATTAAAGCAGAAAATTAGCATAACAACTTATGGAAGCATCATCCTTCAGAACTCATAGCTTTTAAATAAAACAAAACTCAATTATATTACAACTCTTCTTGATAAAGTTTTATTTTTTGAAATATATTCAAAATAACCTTACTAGAAATTTACTAAAATGTACTTTCATTTCTATAAAAGTCACCAAACAATCACTTAAAAACTCATAATTAATCTGCCAATGTTCTTAATTAGTATCACCGTCGAGAAGAAAATCAAAGGAAAATTAAAACAGAAAATTAGCATAACAACTTATGGAAGCATCATCCTTCAGAACTCATAGCTTTTAAATAATTTTTGTATTTGGTTCTTGACCGATTAGTTTAGGTTTAAAAATTCTAAAGCACAAAGCGCAGCTACATAGCTTCGAACACAGGACACGAGTTAGAAAGCTTTGGCGCTTAACCAAGTGAGCTACCCGACCAGCCATGTCAAGTGATGTCACTTCAATGAAATTATACGTTTGTTTGGTTCTACATTTTAATTAATTATAAGCTATTAGTAAAATTTTCCGACGAAGCGGTGTCACGTGACACCGCTTCGCCCAAGGTAAATCTACCCCTAGTCACAAGTGCATGAGCATTTACTAGGAATTTAAAATAAAAGACAATAATTATCCGGAATACAAATTTTGGACAAGAAAGAAAAATACAAGTACTCTGAAGGAGACTCTGCTGGCTGTGGATCGTACATGAGATGCAGCTCACTTAAGTTCCTGTGTCAACCATGCCGCTGCGCCCACTAGGCCACTAGCCATACATGTGCCTGTACAAAAAAATGTACAGCAAGTGTAGTATGAGTACAAAAACAACATGTACCCAGTAAGTATTCAGTCTAATCTCGAAGAAGTAGTGACGAGAGGTCGTCTCCGACACTTACTATGGCCAACAATAATATACCGATAATATAGTAAATCAAGGATTTTTTTTATAAAAATGACTGTAACTCAATAGCATGAATCAAGTAAACAATTCTTTTATTAATAGGAGATTTCCAAATTTATTCTCATCATTTATCAATTTATCTCAGGCCAATAAGGAAATATCATTTATTACAAATGCTAAGCAATCAATTCAATCATGCGCAAATCACGCCGAGGTCGTACGGACCGATCCAACATAATATTTAAATTGTGCATTGCCGGATGGTCGAACGACGCGAACCATAGATGCATCTATTTAATCTGCCGAGGCGTTCGGCCCGTTCCACAAAAGGAAAACACAATCAAACAGTCAATCAAGAATTCATCAAGGAGTAATTATCCGAGGAAATGACAATATTTTTTTAACGGTCAAGAAATGAAGTTTAACCTTTTAGAAATTCATTTACCAAGTTCGATATGATTTAAGAAATTTAAATTTGACATAAGGTTACAAATATCGCAAGTATAGCATGCTTTTGGGTCCTAATCTACCCGGACTTAAGCAAAATAGTAGCTACGCATGGACTCTCGTCACCTCGTGCGTACGTAGCCCCCACAAATAGAAGCACATATTCAATTATTTCACTTATGGGGTTAATTCCCTCTTACAAGGTTAGAAAGGAGACTTACCTCGCTCCGAAGTTCCATAATCGGCTCCCAAGCCATTCAATCAACTCAAATCGATGCCCAACGCTCCCAAACTAGTCAATAAATGAGCAAATCCATAAATATATACTCTAATACTCATTATAATCCTATTTACAACAATTCCCAATTCCGCTCGAAAAGTCGATAAAATCACCCTCGGGCCCACGTGTCCGGATTTCGAAAATTTTTGAAGATAAAGTTTACCCATAACCTCACGAACTCAAATATATAATTTATGTCCAATTCCATGCTCAAATTCGTGGTAAAAGTCCAAAAATACCAAATTCTAGGTTTTCTACCAAAATTCCACAATTTCTACTAATTTCCATGTTTAAATCCTTATACAAATCATGTATCTAACTTATAATAAGTGGGAACAACTTACCTTGTGATGCTTGAAGAAAATCTCCCCTT